GAAACAATTATACGATATTGTTCAAATTGCGTGGAATTAAAAGACAAAAAGAAAAAAAAAAAAAAGAAAAAAAAAACCAAAAAAAAAAAAAAAAAAAACGAGACGATATCTAAGTCTGCCTAAGAAAAAAACAAAAAGACTCTCTCTATGAACATTCTTCACGAAGAATCTCGATAAAACAGAGAGAGAGAAGAAGAAGGAAGAAACGGGGATTAAAGGAGTCCTTACCTCTTTGAGCCTCTCTTGATCCTGTAGGTAGAAGGCGATGTAAAATAGCGATAGGAAGGAGTTTACAAACTGAAACTGAAATACATAGTCTCTTCTGTATACTCTCTATCTGTCGTAGTGAATTAAAACACACTAGAATGCACGAAACGTAAGCGTAACATAAAAAATTAAATTAAAAACCGTGGGTGGTTACTTCTTTTTTTTTTTTTTTTTTTGAACAAGCACAAGCAAGAAAGTGTTCTAGGAGAGAATTGAATTTTCATGCAGCGACAGAGACAGCCAGAGCAGACTTTTATTTTATAGAAGCGATTCGAATAAATGACAATTATATTATTCGATTAGTTACACAAGAAGAAGAAGTCCATCTTTAAATCTGTTGTAATATCTTTGCTTGGAAATTTTATACATTGCAAATTTATAACTCTTTGATGTGAAGTCCGAATTGTTTCCTTTTTGTCACCGAATGAGTATAATCGACTGAACTGAAGCGTGGATGAGTATATTTTATAATTAAAAAAAATACGCATGCTTCACGGCATTATGACATGTTATTTGAATTATTGAATAATTCAGGTAATTGTAACAAGCAATATCTTTTTTTCTTTCGGTTGAAATTAAAAAAAACAATTTGTATAATAGATTGGTACCTTTCCTTCTTTTGTCGAATTCTCTCGTTACTCTATATGGAAAAGTATTAGAGAAATAATGAATTTAAAAAGATATTTTAACTTCAATCTTGTGGAATTTGGAAGTTTGAAAGAGAAAACAAATTTAAGAGTCGCACGTTACGTATCTGTCCTTGTTTCTCATAAAATGAATTTGATTTATTTTTATAAAATAGATACATTTTTATAAATTAACCTATTTTATTAATGCAATTTAAATTATGAATTATTAATTTAAACTATGTAGCCGTGCGTTATTGCACACTCTAGAAAGATATGGTATCATTTATCTTTTCTTTCTCTAACATTTTTTTTCTAACTTCAACCAAGCTTAAGACTTATCACAATTGCTTATTACAAATGTACATTTTAGAATGAGGTATTTTTGAATTGCTATGGCTGAGAAGCGGTGCCAATATCAATCAACGTGAACGTTAAACTTTGAAGACCAAAAAAAAAAAAAAAAGAGAAGAAGAAAAAAATGGAAAAACAAAGAGCAAAATGAAAATCGGTATAAATTCTACGATTTCGGTTAGAGGAGGACACACAAGAATACAACACGCTACGTACAACACGCAATAGTAATAACAATAATAGTAATTCTAATCGAAAAATGGAGAGTTCTTCTTTATTACCAGTGCCACCTTGTAGATCAGATGATTCTCGTACTCGGTGTCTAGCCGATAGTTTTCTGCGTCCAACACACAAAAATCACAAATACTATCTACTAGAACATGACTGCTCTCCGATATGTAGAAGAAATGAAAAGTATCAGAAACAGTAAAAGAGAAACTAGAGGAACGAAGAAAAGAAAAGAGAAAAAGAAGAAACAAGATAAGGACAAAAGCAATCAATAAGGAATAAGAAGGAATATAGAATATACAAGTGTAACAAGATCTATAGTAACGTGTCTCATTTACGTGTGATGATAATTTCTTACGATAAGAAGAGAAGAAAAAAGAAAAAAACGCAAAAAAAAAAGAAACATTCGCCACTGTTCCAATAAATCCAAGTCACTGTTTCGTCAATCAGGGAACGTTACATAACTCTCAGTTAATTTCTAGAAGAAGCTAAGCCGTGAAAAGATTCGGAAAGTATATGTATCATCTATATAGGCCTTTTCTGACAGAAAAAAAAAGAAACAAAAGAACTAGAACGTGCAGAGTGTCTCGTGGAAAATATACAGAGAGTCGATGCAAAGAATTTCGTTAGAGAAATAGTGTTCGTTCGCTCTTGTATCACAACGGGTATCGCACGCGACACCGGGGATGATCGATCGTGTCTCGTGAGAAAGAGAGCGATAGCAATACTATGGGAACCGAAGTAATGTTCGTATAGTCGTTCTCAGGCCTTCTTCAAACTATACGTACCCATGTCGTTCAACCATACGGCGACTTTGAAGTAAGCCTCGTCCATTAAAGCTATCACAATCGCCAGTAAAACTTTTGGCACGTAGCTCAGCCAAAATCCATATCCCCTCGACTCCAGACGAGCGTCCCACCAGTCCTGTAATCGTTTTTTTAACATGAATACAACATCATGTATACACGAAATACATATACATTTATCTCTAAATCTACGAGAACACGAGAGGAAGCTAAAGGGATCGAATTTTCGTATCAACTATATAAACTACCTTTACTTGATCGAAACAGCCTTTCTAACTGAGAACGCAAGCACAATTGACTATTAAATTTTTCAGCCAACACGAGAAAAGAGTGTTGATAATTGTATTTTTGTGTTTCGTCGAGCAATGGAATCCACGCGTTACGCAAGGAGGTTTCACAGATTTCGATGGAAGTTCGTCGGTTCGTAATGATAAATCGATTCTAACACAGCAGTTGGCTTCTATTCAACTAATTCCAACTGTCGAAGAACTCTCGACGTTTTTTCTTTTTTCTTGTTTCTTTTTTTTCTTCCGATCAAGTTCCAGGCAGTCGAGCGAAAATACCAGTTTCCAGCCTCTAGAACTGAATTGCCCGCCCGATCTTTTTCGTCCCTCGACGGGATTTTGCAAGAAAAGTGCGAGCTTCAGGCACGCTGCCAAATTCTGATTACGGGAAAGGACGCCTACTGTTTGTTATTTATATCTTGAGAAGAAATTTGATTGAAACGCGAATTGAAATGACGATGAGAGTTAAGAAAATTTAAGTTGTTTCACCGGACTTGTTACTTCAACGTCAAATCTTGCAATTTACAGTGTAACTTTGGCCGATGACGGAAATTTATCTAGACTCCTAGTTTCAGGTTTGTTTGTCTTTTCAAGAAGCTCTCGATATTAAAAAAAAAAAAAATGAAGAAATTATTATTGTATAAAGACATATACAATCACAAGGATGTTATTCATTTTTTAGATCCACGTTGACAGAAGTTCTCACAATCAGTTAAGAAGTGAATTAACATATATTACATTCTGCAACATATGGATAATCTACAATTCCCTCTCAAAAGTGAGATTTTCTTGACAAAAATTTGTCACTTCTGTCAATAAAGAATATGTATTTAAAATAACATTAAACTATCAAGGATTGTATATTTATCTAAGATTCTACATTCTTTCTATTACTAAAATTCTATTACTCTCCCCACTATTTTTAATAAGCATTCGACGTAAACACGTTTGACAGATCCAGCAAGCATTCATCTAACTAGAGAACATAGTAAAAACGTCTCGAACCTGTATCTGAAAGCTGAGTATCATCACGATGAAAACGAAGAACAAGCACGCCGCGATAATAGGAACGCTGACAAAGTACCGGAACATGTTTCTCTTCCATCTAGGGTAAGTTGGCTCCAGTCTTCCTGTTACAGGTGAAGTTTCCAAAGTGCCCTTCAACGTTGGAAAAAAGAGAGAAAAAGAAAAAACACGAGGAGTAAGAAAAAGCACATTGGAACTGCGTTCAATGAAATTCACTTCGATTGCGATCGTTTCAGACAGAGAGAAGTGAGAAACGCGTACGTACTTGGGGGGATGACGTGTCTGGAGTAGTGTTGGTAAAATCATCGGTAAGGCTTACCGTGAACAAGGGTCTAGGCTCGACAAGTAGGTCGTCTCTTTGATCCAAGGTACCCCACCTGTAGGCCAATTCGGCGCCCCTTCTCTTCCAGGTTTCCAGATAAACCGTGGCCCAGATTACGTTGAAGACGGAGAACAGAACGTACGCCACGTCTTCCACCGCTTGGTTCCTGCCGATGATGCCGACCTTGGTGTGTATCAAGTTAAAATGAATTAGTATTCAAGTATCCTTTCGTTTTTTACAATTTTCTTAACACCGTTACGACTATTATAAATATTGTATCTATGACTATTATACAATATTATTTACTATTATATAATAATATAATATTATATATATAATAATATAATATTATATTATTAAATAATATTATATATATAATAATATAATATTATTATAATATATTGTAATATAATAGTATTATATATATTGTACTATAATATTATTTATAAATATTACAACTATTATAAAATATATTGTAATCTTCAGTTTCACTATAAATAGTATATAAATAGTAAAAGTAAAGATACTTTATAAATACTTTATAAAAATGATCTGCAGTATCTGTAGAAGCATGAATTAGATATCAATGAAAATTAAATTTGAGAACTTTTCAAAATTAGTCAAAATTTCACTTGCAACTGAATGTCTCCTCTAGCCGATTATATTAAGATTTTACAAGTATGTACAAGCAGTTACTTGGAGGAAGACGTTTTAATGTGGATTAATATTGGAGTGTTTCTCTCTTTGCTTACCCAATATATGGCACCCACTGCAGCTGGAACGATCAAAGCGGTGGTGTAATGACCGAGCCACGCGAAGTACATGGTGATCTTGACACCGAAGTATTTACAAATGTCGTCCAGGGGTTGGGGACTAAGGAACGCGCGGACCCATGTTCGTTGCAGCTTCTCCAACGCAGGCAATTCGTGGAGAGGGAAGACCTGGAGGAAAGATGGAAATTCTCTTCTCTATAAACAGAACTATAACAACTTCTTGCAAAAAAGTAGCTAAAGATTTTTGAGAAGTTTAAATTTCTCAACAATTAAATTACCTTCCATCGCGACATAAATTCCTTTTCTACTCTGAGTATTAGTGAAAGATTGTTGAATTTACACAATTTGACTGTATTCTGTATTTTTGCGAAAAATAACTCGGCCAGTATATGTTGGAGTGACACCAACCTGGGATATAATCCCAGCAGAAAGGCATTTTGGAATGATTGCTTGACCTTCCACCATCTTAAGCCCGGGTAGACTGTGAAGATCCTGCGGGCCCGCCCTGAGTGTGTGCAGCAGGTGCAAAACCAACGACTGCCTTTCCTGAGTGGTGAAGAATCGAGCCTCATCGTCGCTACCTTCGAAGCAGCTCGATTCAGAACCTATGAACTCCTTCAGTCCTCCACCGAATTCTTGACGTAGGGATTTTGGTAAATGTATCTCTTCGGCAGCTTTCAATAGTCTGGGCAATAAATCAAATTGTTGTTTTCAGCGTCTGTATTCTTCTCGGTGCATTTTGTTAATTTTTCACGAACACACGGAGTAAAAACTGAAGTAACAATTAGGTACAGATTTTGTGCAGATCATTTTTCATTAACGCCAATTAATTATTAATATACTTTTTTGCACATCTTAATATTCTATATTAGATATTAATTCTAGATAGATAATATTCTTAATATCAGTAAGAAAAGTAATAATTCTAGATAGATAATATTCTTAAATAATTCTAGATAGATAATATTTTTAAATAATTCTAGATAGATAATATTCTTAATATAAGTAAGAAAAGACAGTAAAAAAAGGATTTATACAAAAATGTGGTTATTGATTCAATTCTACTCGACATACAAACTAAAGAAATGGAACTAAATAGAATATAGAAATAGAAACATAGAAATTTATGTACCATTTATTGCATATAGTATATAGAAATTTGTGTATCATTTATTGCAAGAAATACTCCACTTTTACATACATGTGTTGTATATCTACGATTTTTGCAACTTTCAATTTCCTATAAATGCGTAAAAATCCATAGTCTATTTATAACCAACGTAAAACGATGTACTTACACGTTAAAGGGAGCTGTTAAGTAAAAGCCATAAGTGTCTGACGAGGTATGATGTCGCACGTGTACCACTAGGCCCGGAGTACCGGCCCGAAGACGGCCTAGGAGCCACATCAGGGTTTCGTCGCTTGCTCCACTCGGGAACATCATCACGACGTCGCACTCCTGCGCAAATTGATCATTCATTTATTTGACGAATGTATCGATCAGCAGTAATTTTTGATATTGAAGCTGTTAAAAATTTTTTGTAAACCCTTAATGTTCTTTGTCTCTTTTGTTTCGAATTTTTCAATTTCACGAGTACTCGAGCTTTTAAAATTCCTTATCTATTGCAATTAGAGTCTCTTAAGTTCCCAGGTTTCTCAGATTTCTCAAGCACTTCGAGTTTTTAACGTTACTCGAGCTTTTTTAAGATTTCGAATCTTTTCAGAGTTGTTCGAATCCGTAGTCAAGTAGCCACTGGTTTCGAAAGTTTTTCAATTTCCTTCAGTTTCTCAAGTTCCTCTCAGATCTTTAGAAACAGAGCAGAATTCTTTCGAACTTTTTCAAATTGCTTGAATTTTTCTGAAGGTTCGCAGAGTTCAGATCGTCGAGAGTATCGTTTAATCTCAGACAAGTTTTCAATTTTTTTTCAATTTCACAAGTTCTTCGAGTTTACCCAAGTTTCCCCCAACTTTCTCAGATTATTTTTTGAATTTTCCTTAAGCTCTACACTCGCTCCGAAATTCGTCCAAAGTTTTTTCAAATCTTTTAAATTCTTCAACGTTTCGTACGATCCTTAAACTTTTCGGAACATTGCTGTTTAATTCTCCTCGGTAACGATGCAATTTCAATTTCTTATGGAAATTAAATTTTATCTTAGAGCACACTGATATTTCTTTATCGTTGAAATAACACCAGGTTCCTCACCAGAAATAAGACGCGCACGACTGTCTACAAATCAGAACGGTGACGTTATTTCGTACTTATCGTTGGACAGGGTAAACTTATTATTTCCCTACAGAACCGTAGGCCACACGGTTGACTATATTTTGGCACAGGGATTAAAGTTGTTCGGCCTGGCCATCTTCCAAACTGCAGCAGATTGCTTGGTATTGCCAATCCATGCGCGAAGATATCGTAATGGCATGCCTGACCTAATAGTGACGTTGAAATTCACCTCTATTGTACATATTATCTGTTATTGAAATTAAAATTCGACGATTTTCAATTCCAATAATGAATAATAAATTGATAATTTATAATAATATAAATTAAAATGACTATTATGTAATTGATAGATTGATAATTTATAATAATATAAATTAAAATGACTATTATATAATTGATAAATTTATAATTTATAATAATATAAATTAACCTATGCAAAGTGACTCATATAACCTGTAATGAACCACATCTACGTATATTTTGGTTCAGGTCAGAAAAAAAATATTAGAGGAAGATTTGATCATGATATTATATAGATAAATAATATCTCTACGCTGCCAAAGGAGTATATAGGGATTATATGTAGAGGTATAAAAGGATTTTATTGATATAACAGATATAAAAATCAAATTTTCTCCCCCCCAACATTTTTGACCTCAACCAAAAAATAGATGTACAACTTATACATATATAAAATGTTATGAAAAGTTACGAAAACTGCACTTTGCATGTTTTACACGTTGTTTCGTAAATTAAATTCATTTTTCGCGGCCTTGCACTTTCTAATTTTCTACAAATGCATGAAAATCCGCTACTGACAACGTAGAATATTTAATAACGAAATTAATTAATATTATTCATTTAGAAAAGAGCATCTTCCGTCTCTTGTTTTTCTTCCTATCTAGTTTTTTGTTAAACAAATTCCTCGACAATTTTCAATTTTCTATGAAGACAGAGAGAAAGAGAGAGAGAGAGAGAGAGAAAAGAACAGTCGATAAACCCGACTTCTTCGCGTGAATCGCAGCAAAGTACCGTGAAACGAGAATCTCGCCGAGGAGGCTGAAACACAAACGACGGCCTGATATATGGAAAAAGTTGCATAACAAAGGAGGAAAAGCCTCGGGATGTTTCACCGGAACTACCGGTCGTTACCGGGGATGAAGACGGCGCTTTTTTAAAGGTCACTTTATATTTAATTAACTAACGCTCGGTGGCCTAAGCGCTGGTATATACAAAAAGACAAATAAAACTCGACAACGTTTAATCCTGTACAACAACGTTACCGAGGGACTGTTTAGGGATTTTTTTTTCACAACCCTATATACGACGCTCTGGGCAGTCGAAATACAATCACAAATGATCAAATTTCTCCAGTGAAACCGGATTAAAAACGGAAGAATATTCCACATTTTCTACGTCATCATCTCTTTCATGTGTTTTTTTTTTTTCTTTAATGTGGAAGAAGACCACCGTATTTTTATTCCGAATAAAATTCTAAAAATGATTGCAACGACAATGATTCGCAAACAGAGTGTAAAAGTTGTTTCAAGTTCAAATATGCTCGCTGCAAATCAAGAAAAGTCGAAATAATGTAATTAATCTGTCACTGAGTAAGAATTTGCTTTCGAAGAGTCTGATTGACACGTAGGAAAGAATAAGATAAAGAAATTATGTGTCGTGTGTATATAATATATATTATATCATTTATCGCGTGCAAAAAGTACGTCATAAATTGAAAGACGAATGTACTTAATTTGAAGAATTATATCACTGAAACAAACAAACACGGGCAAACGTAACAGTTCCATTCATCGAGTTTTGCTACAACGAATTTCTTTCAACGATATATCTTGTATAATTTTCTCACGCGAGTTGAATGCAAAATCTCTGTTCTAACAATCTGTTATTTCAATCACTCGAATTGTTTGCACGTTGGTTTCGTATTATTTCACTCGTGTCATGTACACACATTAACCTATCGATCTCTCGCCTCCATTTCGATGAATTATTCGTTCAAACGAAGGGTAATGCAACTTTCATGCGTCTTTACTTTCGTTCTTTTGCCTCGTTATTATTGTGTAAAATATATATTCCATACATTTTTGCTGTTCTTCCGCACGAACGAATTTTCCCATCTTTTTTATATATCATGTGGATATTCTTTGCCTCTGTTATTACTGTCAATATATCTTCCCCATACTATTCACTGCTCTTTCGCATAAACATTTTCACATCTTTTATCTTTTTATTTTTCTCACAGATTGTGTAGATATTCTTCGTCGCGCCGAATCGATAATTTCTACCTTAAACCAATTTCCACAAGTCTGAAATAAAAATTGTAAATACGTAGAACAAACAATTAAGTATATAACATTACAAATGAATGATAATATTTATATTTATGAATATAATGAATGATAATATTAATATTTACATTATGAATGATAATATTAATATTTACATTATGAATGATACTTATATTTATAATATTTTTTAATATTACAAATGATAATTCCACAGTGACTGAAAAAGCCTCGCTTCTATGTAATAACTAACATTAACTTGTTAGTATATAAATGTAACTATAAATATAGATTACCGATTCCTCTCGAAACCGAAACTAAATTGCACTTGAAACATTTTTCCAATCGCGAAAATAGTTACGAAGATAATTGCACTTGTAGATTAAAGTGGTACACTCTGTATACGTATGTGAGTACCATCAATAGTACTCGATTTTTCTTTTTTATATTAAGCTCTATCAATTTATATATTAAGTGCTATCAGTAATAGCTCTCTCTTTTTTTTATATATATATTAACGAGCACGTAACAAGAGCCGATCAAGTGGCAGGCGGAGCCTCTCGCTCTCGAAGAGCAACGTTTGTAACGTCAGTAAGTTTGTTTGACCGGTTGCCAGGAGTTTGTTTGTCTCGAAACTTTTCTACGAGCCGAACGAAGGTGATACTGGGAAGATGATCTCGCGATATTGCACTTCCGACGTCGGTATTAGCATCGTCGTAAGAGCGGCGCCGAAATGGTACCCATGCACGTATGTATGTATATTCTACTCCGAATAGAATATGTATGAAACCGTAAAAAGACGAAAACTTCGAAAGATACACAGAGGACGGGTATCGATATACGAGAGAATACACAAAACGTACAAACGTACGACAATTCCGTATAAACTGAATAAAATTGAAAACGTATCGCGAGAGTCGGTGTGTGTCACCTTCGAAGCGTCGGAATAATTCGAGTAACGCGATCTTTGCATTTGTAGCGTCATATTGGCCAACGGTGCCATTCGCCAACGCCAGCTCTTCCAATTCTTTTCATTCCCGCACGCCTGTTGTTAACGATATTCCTGGGATTCCTCTCTAAATGGCTGAATTCTTGTATTCTTGCGTTGAATACGCGCCAACTCGCATCGAATAGTTACCTATCCTCTGTGCACGTAAAATAGTTATGTAAAATGATGTTATTAGTAATAATATTGTTACAATATAATAATAATATTAATAATAATAATGGTACAAAGTAAATCACATCATCACACTATGGATACCTATGTAAATACGTATAATTCACTATTTTAGAAATACATGTAGTTAAAAAGGCAGACTCTGAAAAAATTATTTTATCTGTCAACAAACGAACACACTATACTTTGGATATTTTGTATATTAACATTCCGTTAAATTTCGGGGAATTTCTCGCAAATCTCGCACGTCTTGCACGATTACCGAGACTTCGCAAGTTACAAGCTACGAATTACCATCACCAATGTTGCAAACTACTCTCGCAACACTTAGAATGGCACCCTATAACTAATAAGTTTACACTGACTTTCAAATTTGGCATTATCCTCGCGTACCTACTTTACATTTAAAAAAAAATCACTGCAACTGATCTCCTAGAACGGATTACAGACAACTCGATCGACCATTCGCGCTGGCAGCTGATTGCGGACCATAACGAGTGACCAACCATTTCTTTTCAAACTCGTATCGGTATGATATCGCTGGATAGAAATTATTGAGAAGTAATAAATTTATTATTTGTTTTGCCATTTTATTAGTATACTTAAAGCTGAAAAAATATTACAATTTTGGAACAAAAAATTCTCGACGTGCGTGGCACGTCATTTCCAGCGCAAGACGTTAAATAAAAGAAAGTGAAAATTTACAAGAAATTCTCAGACAGCTTAAGATCACAAAAGATTCGAATCTTTCAAAAGATAATTAAAAGACCTGCTGTTCATTTATAATCATATTCTAATATAATACAACCAACAAAATCAGTATCACGTGAAAGTGTTCCAGATTTGATGTGAAAACAAATAAACATCGTTTAATACTCGTAACCTCTCAATTTACAAATTAATATTATTAATTAATGAAATTACTGCGTGTGACAGGGTCCTGGCAACCATCTACCGATCACGGACTGATCGATTCAGGCTCAGCACGCCGTTTCTGTACTCTAGCCACCGTGCTCCCTAAACGCGTGCAATCGTTTGATCAATAAAATCAATAGGATGTTGGACACATTTCCGTAAACAAGGAAGCCAATCCCAATTATAAGCAGGTCACGTAGTAACGTAGGATAAATAACGGGGTGGATGCGTGTAAAATTTATTTGCACGCCGTTATGGGTATATCGATGGATTTTCCTCCGTGTTCGTCCTTTTGTATTGATTTCAACTGACCGGGGGGGGATTGCGATAGATGAGCCATTCAGATGCATATAAGAATCCGTGCTCACATACAGAGCCGCGATATTTTTTTTTTTTTTTTTGCACTCGTTCTCGCCCACACTGACTTCTTGCCTCGTCACGTGTAATTCAGTTCGGACAATGGTAGAGTAATTGGTAGTTGTTGCGTCGAACACATGTTACTAGCAAACGTTGGCTTTTTCTCTGACCATAGAAATTCAATCGCGACAGCGCGATGAAAAATTGCGGAGGAGGATATTACATGGGAGGGGGGAGGGGGGAAGAAAAAATAAATAAAGCGAAGGCAAAATGGCGCTGGAATTACGCGCGTCGTAAATATTTGGCCAAAAATTGCAACATTTTCTTAGTATATTGAGTATATTGAAATATAATCCAGGCAAAACAAATAATAAATTTATTACTTCTTAGTAATTTCTTTAATCCGGTGATATGCCGATGAATTCGAAAGGAAGACGAATTGTATACGATTTGGTCACTCGTTATGGTCCGTCAACCAGTTACCAGCGCAAGAGGTTAAACGTATTTCTCGTCCCTTCGAATGTAAACTGCAAGTTAACGTAACTTATCACTACGATTAAAATTAATAAATATTATCGACTGTTTTATATCTATCTATACTATCTATGTATCCATACTATTTTATGTCCATCTACTTGTTAGATTATTGCGTTCAGAAGATCTTGATTTATTTCTTTTCAGAGACAATACATATCTGTTTTTCGTTTCGAGTGGCAAGCATTTTTGATAATTGATAATATTTGTAATAGACCGAAATGTTGAACGTGTTAAATTTAGTTAATATCAAACTTCAAATTCGTACATGATATATTGCGATTGATAAATAAGAAATAGTGTATGCTATTTAAGATTCTATAATCAGTTGCATACGTTGCAGGATTGTATCGAAATTGACCTCAAGATTGACCACCATTATTCTGTGCTCTAATTTTTATACCTGCCAAAGGAAACTGTAAATATTTTGCACGTACAAAATAGACACATTCGCGAAGGAAAATGAAAAAAGAAAAAGGAAAAGTTACATTCATATTACTTCAATTACATATATTATATATGTGTAATATATATGCAATAAAATTACTAATATTTATTAATTTAATTGTAATGATAAGTTACGTTAACTTACAGTTTACACACACATATATATATATATATTATATGTAAGAGAAAGACTAACCTTTCTAAGAATTAAGAAGAATCAACAACGTAAAAAACCATAAACTCACGAGAGTGTTTTCAGCCAATTATTGGCAATCCTTTTTTAAGAAATGAACAGGAACATACACGTGAAAAAGAGAAACAGAAGTGATGCAAAGCGATAGAAATACAGAACCGTTCGAAGAACGTACCTGAGTTGGAACTTTCTGTATCCATAGGCGGCGGGGGGTCATCAAGTGGCCTGTGCATGGTATTTTCCGTCGGAGTAGGCGAGATGCTGCAAAAGAAAAAGGAAATGGAGACGACGTGTTGTTATTAAATATATCGATCGGCGCTTCCTTGCTTGCTGTCCTCCCTTAACGAGGCACATCGTTAGCGTCGCGTTATATTTTTCCCAAGGATCAATTTTCCGTGAACGTGATGAAGCGAGAACGCGGGTTTCCTTAATAAAGCGCCAAATTGCGGAGTTTAATAGCTTGCGTAATTGATGGAAACGCGACGATCCATATAACGAGAGAGAGAGAGAGAGAGAGAGAGAGAGAGATGTGGAAGTCGGCCCTCGCGCGCTCTCGCCCAGCCACTCTAACAGCATTCTCCTTCGATTAAACAATAATATGTAAATGAATCGAATCTGAATTGGCGATCGATCTTGATTTGTTGATTTTACCTGTTTAGAAGATACACTGTATTATTCGAGAGAGCGTACTGGGTGGGTGGAAGAGATATCGCGGGGTTGTAAATTAAAGCGTCATCGATCGATGTATGTAGGTGAATTTACGATCGTCACCTTTAGGATTTCTCTAACGGCTGAGTGATAAATTTCTTCAGCTAAATGCAATTCTACCTCCAATGTACATACATGGCACATAAGCCACGTGTCACTTTGTTAGATAAATTTGAAATTCTTACGAGTGCAATTTTTACACGAGGGTGTAAAATGATGCTACGCTTGAAAATTATAATTTAATGGTTCTTTAGTTTCGATGAAACAACAATGCCATCGTTCGGAAAGCTAAAAGAAGCTGTTCTCGACCTGCAATTTTAAAACACAGGAAGGTAGTAAATAATAGCTGTTCAGAATTTTCAATCTGACACTAACTAGCTAGTCCGTGTTTCATGTCGCAACAGAGCTACATCTCGTATATAAATTTATCGAACTAGTTAATTGTCACTCGACGCTATTATTATTTTTTATAATTTTTGCAAGTTTTCTAATTTCGTCTTATTGTTATAATTTTTTAAATAAACTCAAAGATAGACAATTGTCGAAGGGCAATGTGTGACACAATCCGCCATCCGTTCTGCTTTTCACTAATTAAGACTGACAAATGTTTTTGCCAAACTTCCCAAAGACGTGTTGTATTAATGGTGACCTGAAAACTTCCTCGCGGCCATCCCCTATCGCGAGGCCGCAATAAAGGAAGTTCCACGCTACCTTGCCCAAGGTAATTTTCTGGTCAATGGTTACGAATCAGGAAATTGCTCGGTGGCCACCGCGACATCGTTGCTCCATTGGATGTAAAAATTATGTATTTGTATTTTCCTACAATTTCGTCGAAAATTTAGATCTTTCATTTTGGGGAGAATTGGATGATTGGACTATTTTCTATGGAAAATTGAATGAACTGACTACTCCCGTTGACTGTCCCATTTGAATTTCACACAAGCGAAGCGTCTTCACCCGAGAAGATTCTCACACAGTCATGTTTTGAATATTCATTCTTTCGATCAAATCATCACGCGTTACTAGAAACAAACTAAAATTTTTCTTTCAAGCAAATGATGTGTGAAAACAAATTCTTAAACAATGAATTACAAAGAAAGATATAAAAAATTTATAGTTACCCACATTACAATTTATAATTTGAAAAATATTATTAGTAAGTATGTTACTTATAAAAAGGACACAAATAAAACATTAATTTATTATGTAAAAATAGAATCTAATCTAATGAATGAAATAATAGAAAGATCAAGGCACTACGAATTTCATGATATTACAAAAAAGAAAAAAAAGATCGTAATAGTAGTAAGTGGCTGGAGACGTTGTAAATGGTTTGTCATTTACGAAAGAGTAAAAGAGATTATATATTTCATCGTATCTTGACAAATTCGTACTTTGGCGTTTTTCTGTCGTGTAGCTTCGCGGGAAAGTTCATAAGAAAGAATAAAGAAAATAATGTCAGAAATATTGATTTCAAGTCGCAAACGATCCACATTGTTGACAATATAGTTCTAGAAGAACGGGACGTCACGTAAGACACGCGAAAGGTTTCTACATGCGTGGATAACGATTGTGACTATGACCTATAAGTAACGTGGTCAATATTAAGTTAGTATGGAAAACATACATTTTTATTTGCCACGTGTGTTTCGATCAAAAGTTTAATTCATCGTACAGTCATTCTTTTTATTCTTAATTATAAATTAATAAATTTTATTCTTAAACATAATTAAAGATACATTGCATATGTATGTGTGGCAACTTGCAACGCAACATTAATACTGTTTTTTATTGTATTTATAAGGAATTCTAAAGTACAAAATTAAAGCACAACATAATGCTTATAGTATGAAAGAATATACAAAGTACCTTTTATAGTATTTTACAAACGTAAAAATATTAAGATTCTATTTTTTTCATTTAATCTATAATGAATATTAGTACAATTTTGTTTAAAAAAAAATTATTAAAAATAATAATTAAAAAATTATCAAATTATTAAAAATAATGCTTGCTTTCCTAGAAAGATATAAGTATGAACACTAACAGGTTTTGATTATAAGCCCTTCAATTTTTTTTTTAGAATTGAAAGTAACTCGAATAACTAATATTTAATAAAAAAAAAGGAAAAGTTAAAATTTGTATAGCCTTGCAATATTATCAGGAGGGACTTGAACAGGAACTTTTGTGTGGTTCGTGTTTATACATTTTATAAGAGTTAAAGGTTTCAACCCTATGGGGAACAGCATTTTCGAAAGGAGTTTGTTCAATAATTGATTTTATTTCGTTCGTTGGAACGAATAAGACGTCATTTTGCACATTCAACACGCGATGCAATCATGAAAAATTCCCTTTTTCTCTTCTCAGAGTTTCATTCGGTCTTCAGATGGTGAACCACGTTTCTCGTAGCAGAGGTTCTCGTGGGGTTGAAAACGAAAATTCCAAAAAGGAATTCGAGAACTGTTTTTTTTTTTTGTATGTGTCAATTATGCTAGCTTGGAAAGAATCATAGCACATGTTAATTTTTTACACAATTAAATAAGACGCTAGTATTTGTTTCACATTGCACAGAATTTTGTCCAAGAAAAAAATATTTTTTTCTCTTACAAAGGGATTCTTTCTGTTTCAAGTCTACTTCCGTTTAAAATTTTTTATTCAAAAAATTCCAATTGCATTCAATTTAAAGTCGAAGAAGATTCAGATTGAATAATTAAAGAAAGCAAGTCTTATTTACCAGCTGAAAATTCTACAACAATGAAATCAAACTGATGGTTTGTTCAACGTTTGTATTTCTCCAGAGCAGGAAAGGAACACTCCAATTTCTGTATGTATTCCAATTTTTTAAACAAAGTATTCGTCATTCGTCCCATTTAATAACTCTTTATATTCATTTCATTCATATTCGTATATCGTAGAAGAACTATATCTAATTAAATTCTGGAGTTGCAGGCCTCGTGACAAAAAGAAAAAAAAATCACTTAATTTTTACAACATTGACTTCACTATATCTGATTAAAAGTGCATTATTAAAATCGACTTTTACTTCTGAATTTCCTACAATTGAAAGACTTGGAACCTTTCTTAATTTTAGAGATTTTTAGGTCTGCTATAATTCTCAACTTTTCGTTTATTAATTTTTATTACTACTTTCTATCCCCGGTGTATTCCTTTTTATTTATTTATTTTTTTTTTTTATTTTAGACAGCATATCTTGCTGGAAGCTATCGTGATCTGAGCAATCCTGGGAAATTCTTTCACGCGGTGTGTGCTCGGTTATAACAGCGCAGACAGAATTTAATCCCCTAATTTGATTGCTCCTGTTTGTTCTGCGAGGCTTGCTCGCAATTAAAATTTACCCTATCCCCCGAAGAAAATCGGAAGAGCATCTTCGTTTAAATCCTTTTAAAAGCAGTAATAACGTAACAGCTTTCAGTAAAATCGATGTTCAATCAAATTTGTATCGGAAATGTTGAAATCGACGGAATAAAAAGAAGCGGGAAAGACGATCGAAGTTCGTTCGGGAAGTTTAACGTTCATGAAAATGCAGATGACTATAACGTTGGTCTGAAATCACCTTCGATTAATTATCAAGATGATTGTCTTCTTTTATTTGTTCAATCGGCTCTACACGAATTGATGTGTATTTAGATTTCAATCTAGAATTAACATCGTAATTTTCGTACCTTTGGTGAGACGATAAAAATAAACTGATGATCAAATGAATGTACTTTTCCAACGGAAAACTCGCGATTATAATTCTCATCGAACGAGAATGAAATTATTCTAAAAAAATTTAATTATTAACACAAATACATCAACAAGTAATAACAATTTATCTTTTATGTGTTCATTATAGTTTCTATTATAGGATACAATGAAATACTGATGAAAGTATATTGATTTAACGAATTTCTCTTCTATAAATCACGCCGAATCTCGACGAAGAGTTACATGCAAAAAATAAAATGAGCATGTATTTAATTATTACCACTCGATGGTCCGTAACCTTGTTATACGATCAATAACGCTTTCATGAATTTCAATTCCTCGATAAAATGATTATAGATTATCTACAATACGTTTTCATTGTGGTTATTATATTTTTATATCCCTGTTATATTTCTAACTTGATCGTGATCGTTTAACTGCGATGGATGACGTTTGATTGAACGGCATTAAAATTGCAACAGAGTAATACTAAACAAAATGGCCCATTTTTCTAAATGTTTTAACAAATGCCATAAATTCGATTTTATTGAAACTCTCTGTGTATTCTGCAGATTTAAACTTTTTTCTTCTCGAGAAGTAACGTGACAATTAATCGACGAAAATAACACAGATAAAACAACAAATAATACTACATGTGAATATGAAAAAATATCACTGAATCATTAAAATAACCATTGGAAGAGTATTGAAAATATCACGTAACATATATATATATATATAGGATGATTAACACGAATATTGTTAAATTGTTAGATTATCGATTTTTCAATAGGTGATAAGAAATTAACCTTTTAGAACTCTTGCAAAGCGCATAATATATGTAA